GGGGGTGGTACTTCCATACTGTAAATCATGTATATTTCTCAGCAGAGAAGGTACAGTTTGCCTTACACCTCTTTTTCCTAAACTGACCATTATCTTCTGTGGCCTGCACAAACGGACAAACAAACATTTGCAGACGAGGCGAGGAGCAGTGCAGACCTTTTTTCATTATCTAGTATCTACTGTAAAGAAGTATTTTCTTATACTACAATAACTGTTTATTTTGAATCTCTTTTCTTTCTTTTTTCCTTCCTCTTTGAATCTTCTCACCAACACACTCCGCCAGCTACTTCTATGCCAAACAACCCCTGATATCTTTTATGCTAAATTACTTGTCCTAAAACATTTGGTAGCTAGTTGAAAAAAAAAAAAAAAAAAAAAAACTTTAAAAAAAATACCCTCAATATATGCATTATCATAGTTTCAGCAAGTATTTATCAAAGACAGAGTCAGTCAAGTTTTTTCCATCTTGCCTTTTATTTTTTAATTTAAAGCTACAGTAGGAAATCGGTAGCAGAAGAGGGAGAGAGTCCGGTCGTTTCTAAGCTTTAGTTCTGAGTTTTCACTACAAATGTCGCACCATCGTTTGTATTACACTTTTAGATACACTGTTGGAGAAGTTTTTCTGAGTGGCCGGTTCACAACAGTAACTACTGGGTCAGTCAAGCCCCCTATTGTTCCCTCTGATGAAGCTGGGACTATCAGGGGAATTAGACAAACATCTTTCTGTAGCTGTTACTTCAATCAGGTTAGTAAAGTAGTAGACTGGAGAGAGCTCCCTGTTAGATTTTTCACATCGAATCATCTTCTAGTTCACCGAGGGCACAGTGTCGACGGTATAAACTAAAAAGAAACAGTTACACAAGTCAAGAAACGGAAAATGCTGAAAAAACAGTTTTGATTTCTATCTTTGTTCTTGTTTGATAAAATTGTGGATGTGACTCTTCTAATTATGTTCTTGGAGACATTTGTTTGAGCGGGGATTGATTGAAATCCGAACACATCTCGTCCTCTCTACTTGTCTCTTATGGTGTTTTTTCTCCAGTGCCTGTATTGTATTGCAGTTCTCGTTGGCTTATATTACACTTTGACCGGGTTTAGAAAGGGGCGAGTCAGCAGTGGGCGGTGTAATATTTAAGTGGGGTGGGAGATTTTTTTGAAGGAGTTTGTGTATAAAAAACAAACAAAACAAAAAACACACAACAAGAAAAAAAGAAAGAAAGGGAAAAAAGAAAAAAGTAATAAAAAAGGAAAAGACAGCGTTTTATACTTTACCCGTTACCAATATTCGGGTTTTAAAGTTAGTTTTAGCTGGACTTCTATGAGTGTACACACCTGACAACTACTTTCTCAGTTTGTTCAATCAGCACATTTTAGATAGATCTGTTTCAGTGTCACCACACTAGCGTTTGAGTCTGGTCTGTGAGTGTGATTGTAAATTTGGATGGCTGTATGAGTGTGTGTGTGTTTTCATTCTTTTCTCAGTGTGTGGTGCGGGAGGTCTGTTTCCCGATGTAGATAAGCAGTCTGTTAATGAGGAGAATAAAAAGATGGGTGAGTACTTCAGGAGAACTCGTTTCTGTGCTTGAGTCACATCTTTTAATTTCTATGAAGTCCACGATATATAACTATATAATTTTATTATTAGATTGGTTTTGAAAGGGTAAAAAAACAAAATGTCATTCCTTTTTAGCCTTTTTTTCCCTTGTCATAATAACTGTTGGACATAACGTGCCATGAGTTTTACGGAGAATGTGCTGACCTGCAGCTCAGCCCAGAGTTTGCTTTATTCAGGTATCTTATTTTGTGTTACATTTGTTGTTTTGGGGGTTTTGTTCAGACATTTTCCTCGATTATCGTATGTGAGTGGTCTATCGAGGTCTCTGATTAAGTCTGTTATGATCATTAAATAAACTCATCTCTCTTTTTTTTTTAATTTTTTTTTTTTTTATAGAAAATAAAAAATAAACAAAGATTTTCCCTTTCCAGTCTCTTTCTGTTTGAAATCTAATGGAGCTTGTGTGCAGCACAGTCTCAACTGGGAGCAGATAGTTGGGATTACTATGAAGAATGACAAATGTGTTGCTTTAATTTTCCCTAAACACAGACTAAATGAGCACGGGGCTCTGCTTATTTAGTCTCAAGAAAGCCCCAGTTTAAAAAATAATGCAATCTCCTGTATTTATGAAATTAAAAAATTGCATTTTTATATTGAGTTCTGCATCATACTTCACAGGTATGAACAAAAAGTCAAAGAGACAGCTTTTGTAACATACCTGCAGAAAGCACGTATCAAAGTCAAGATTAGCACTTTGTACATGGGGCACAGCTAATCAGTCAGAAATCTTTGGCTAAGCGGTTTTCTTACGGTTCTTGCTGTAATAATACATTCTTCAGACTGGTAATGTATTATTTCAAGCTGTTTACTAATGTCAAGTAGGAAAATATAGAAATTTAGGATGTCTTATTTTAAAGGTACTTGTCGGAAGTGATGTTATTGTATTATGTCTGACTTGACATCAAACTGGGCACAATGCCAAACGCCCTCTGGTGGTCACATTGGAAAATTTAGAGCGATCGCATTGTGTAACAAGTCAGACTGAATACGTGTATAAGAATTGTTAATACAGACTGAAGTTAAGGTCACGTCAGATGTTTACTAGAGGGGCATTACAAATAATTAACTGCGGGCTTGGCCCACATGCGCCGTTATAACTGCTTTTAGGTTAGTCAAGATAGGAAAGGTCAATATCTATAATAATAATAATAATAATAATAATAATAATAATAATAAAGTTCACTGCCCTCTGGCGGTCAAAGGCAGGAACTACATTTCAACACGTCTTTTCGCCGTCAATACAAACTTATAAGGGACTAACATTTCTGAACCTAATTTAATGAAAAAGTATTAAGCATACTCATATGAAAGCGCCTAAATTAAATATGATTTTTAACTTATCAGGTTATATTTATTTATATTGCTGAGTACCTTTGGGCATTCTCTTTTAGCCCTCTCATTTATCCATGCTTTGGACAGGCACTACAATAGAAGTGCACAAGATTGTGACCCCGTGACTTTATTAGTTATTATATAATATTAATTTAAAACACAGATTCCCGAAGATATATCCAGCTACATTAATGGACGTTGCTCACACGCGCAGCTAATAACAGTTTGTTTTTCTTTGGGTTAATAAATAGTCCTTTACTAAAGTGAACGTTTACTGCCCTCTTGCGGTCAAAATGCGGAACTACT